CAGGCTGGGTTGGAGGGTGGTGTCGAAGGCCGTCTCCTGGGCAGGACTGAGAGAGAGACAGGTGGACATGGGGGGCCGGAGGCGTGGGGACAGAGGGCCCTGGCAGAGGGGACAACAGCAAACACTGTGGGACAGGCACAAGCATGGCCCAGGTGAGGACCAGCAAGACAGCCCGAGTGCCTGGAAAAGCGTGAAGGTGGGGGAACAGTAGGGATGGCGTGCAGAGGTTGGCAGAAGCTGATCGTGGGGCCCTGTGGGCCAGGGTTGGAGTCTGGGGTCCACCGAGGTGTGTTAGCAAGCCACCAGGGGGTCTGTGTGGGAGAGCGACAGAGCCACCCCAGAAATGGTCATTCCCCAGGGAGATGACAAAGGCCAGAGGGTGAGATTCGTGCCGCGTCCTCCCCATGGATTTAAAACCCTGTCGGTTCCACACAAAACCCTGCACACGTTGTCCATAATCGCCAAAACTTGGAAGCAACCGAGGTGTCCTTCTATAGGTGATGGATAAACTAACAGTGCTACATCCAGACGACGGAGTATTTACTTAGGGCTAAAAAGAATTGCGCCTTCAAGCCATGAAAGGCATGAAGGAGCCTTCAATGCATATACCTGAGCGAAAGAAGCCAATCTGAAAAGGCTACAGACTGTGTGATTCCAACTCTGCGACATCCTGGAAAGGGCAAAACTGTGGAGAGAGTGAAAGACGAGTGGTTGCCAGAGGTTGAGAAAGGAGGGATGAAGAGGTGGCGCACAGAGGGTTCTCAGGGCAGTGAAACGACTCTGCATGCCACTGTCACGGTGGACACCCGTCATTATCCATTTGTCCAAACCCACAGAACGTCCAACACCAAGAGTGAACCCCAGTGTGAACCAAGGACTTAGGGTGAGTATGGCGTGTCACTGTAGGTCCGGCGATTTTAGCAAACGTCCCACCTGATGGGGATGCTGATGACGGGGACACTGTGGCGTGTGGGCAGGGGTGTAAGGGACTCCTCAGTCGGCTGCCGTCTCCACATCCAGAAGCGCGCCACACCTGCCACGAAGGCCACTGCAGTCCTCAGGTGGAGCAGGTGTCTCCGCCCAGGGTGACTGGGCTGACACCGCAGTTCTCGGGGGCTGTCCGGGACACCCCTGCTGTAAGTGGGGTTCCTCTGTGCCTTCCTTTATCCCGCGTGTGGTTTGTGACAAACACCATCTCTTTGGGGCAACCTGAACTTAACAATGTCAGGCGGCGTCCGCCAGGACAGGTGCCGGGCGAGGGTGAGAAAGCAGTTACGTCAGCAGACAAGGAGCTCCACGACCCACAGTGGTGTTTGTTAAAAACGCAGGTCCCTGGCTCCGCCTCAGACGTATTCAGCGGGACCCCCTCCTGTTGGGGCCTAGGAATTCCTATCTTTAAGCAGTTCCCTAAGTGATTCTCCTGGACTCCGAGCTTGAGAAGCACTGATCCCGCTGACACCGTGACAGACAAGTGCACACACCCGACCTGTTAGAATCGTATCTCACAAATAAGGAAATGCGACATTACTGAGCCCAGGGGTCTGTCCTACAACCTAGCAAGAGACAGAACCGCAGTCCAAACGGATTGCGAGCGACCCCACAGCAGTGGTTTCCCTGCTGAGTTACAACCAGCCCCAGGGGGAGCTCTGTGGCGTTCGCATCACTCTTTAAAGAAGATTTATTTATTATTTAATTTATTTTTGGCTGCTTTGGGTCTTGGTTGTGGTACGCGGGATCTTCACTGAGGCAGGTGGGATCTTTCGTGGCGATACGTGGGCTTCTCTCTAGTTGTGGCGTGCAGGCTCTAGAGCGCATGGGCTCTGTAGTGGCAGCACGCGGGCTCTCTAGTTGAGGTGTGGGCTCAGTAGTTGTGGCACACGGGCTTAGCTGCCCTGCGGCACATGGGATCTTAGTTCCCCAGCCAGGGATCGAACCTGCGTCCCCTGCATTGGAAGGCAGATTCTTTACCACTGGACCACCAGGGAAATCCCGAATTCACATCCCTGATGACCAGTGGTCAGTGGTTGGTACCCACCCTCTGAGACACCCCGATATCGTGTTTACAGCATGCATTCTTTGGGATGAGGCTGGGTGCATTCAAATGCTTGATTTCCTTTGCTGAAAGGTCTGGGGGCGTCTTCTAAGACGCAGGAAATCAGTCAGGCAGTTACGGGGCATCCACCTGACTGCAGTGCCCAGGCCCCTCTGCAGTTAGTGGCACGGGGTAGGGACACCACCTACCAGCCCGAACGGAAGTCTTCCATGTGGTGCTTTGTTTATGACCTCCAAAGAACTGTGCACAAGGAAATCTTCCTAAAAATAGATTTAATTGAATTTGTCTGAAGAGGTTAGAAAACATCCTTCCTTCTCACTGGGCGGGAATATTAGACTTCTGTGACTTCTCACCACATCCTTCGTCTGCCCCAACGTTCCTTATAGGATTCATCATCTGTCTGTGAAGCCTGTGTGTTTTGTGCCATTTCATCTAATTGAAGAGACGCCAAAGGCCAAGAAAATCATTTTAACTCATTATCAGAATCCCAAGACTCAGCAGGAGAAAAACATGAAGCCACGGGTACGTTCAGGTTTAACTCTATTTCTGCAGAAGAAAATGCTACTTAAGAACAATGCTCTGTTGTGATTCCAACTCCGCCATGAAAAAAGAAATGTTTTCAAGAGGGAACAGTAAATTTTCAAAGAATCCCCACAAGTTAACAGCAACACTGGAGTCCATACTCACGTCCAGTGCAAACAAGGGGGCGTGCACCGCGTTTTTACACACTTTCCATCCCAGGAGGCTGAGTAAGGAGTGTCGGTGTGACGGAACCGGCAGAGCTGCCGAGTGGCTCAAGAGTGGGGTGCGCAGCAGGACGCGTGCTCTCTCCTCCAGAGCTGAGGGATGCGGACTCCAAGGCACATCGAGGAGACGACCTCTGGCTCTCCTGCCCGTCAGAGCCTCGCCCTGAATCCCCGTCACAGAACCCTTCCGTCCAGGGCTTCAGGCCATCTCTCCACCGTGTGCGTCAGAACTGCTTGCCCGGTACTGGTGCTGAAGCCATGACCCACCTCTGCCGCCCTGGTCTGTCTCAGACCCTGCATGCCCCTCCCAAAGCGGCTGCGGTTGACGCTTCCGTGCGCGGCAGAGAGTCAGAGCAAAGAGCGCCGGAGACCTTGTGTGCAACAGCCCACGTCTGCCACACTCGTCCAAACTCCGGCTCGAAACTCAACAGGGTGCAGTGGACAACCTCTAGACAGGCTCCTCCCCCCGGCTCTGAAATGCACACGGCTCACCTCCCCTCACGTACAGGAAACGGCTACCCCAGAGGCCGGGGGAGGACACCCCCACTCCCCTCTTCCCACGCGGAGGACATTTCCAGGGGGTACTCCTGATGTCTCTCTGCACCTCGCCGCACCCACCTCGCCCCAGGGCAGGCGGGGGAGCTGCGTGCTGGATTGGGGGCAGGCCCTGCCCCTCGCACTGGGCTCTCCCTTTCGGATCTCCCCCTGCAAGGCGCAGGCGTCTGTCTGTGCCGGGCGTTAGTTTACCAAGCTGACTGAGTGACAGCACGGAGAAGCCACTGAATGAAAAATGCCGTGCTACTCACAGGGCCCTAGAGATAAGAGGCGTGCGGTTGGCCGGTTTTAGTGATTTTGCTGGGCTTTGGGCGACAGGGCTGCCCCGAGCTGCTCGGCCTGGGTGTTTCAGGCAGAGGAGGGTCACCTCCCCGGGGGCGGGGCAGGCGGAGGAGGCCGGGCCTGGCCGGGCTGTTGGCATAGGTCCCAGGCGGGCTCCTGGCTGGGCCCTTGGCTGGCGGGGGCGAAGGGGGGCCAACTCGCCGCAGCCAGGCGGGACCTAAGAGGTCAGAACATCACAGTAGATGGAAAATTTTTAGTGTGTACAATCCAGCGACTCCTGTGGACCTGCAGGCCCGGATCCCGTGGCCTGATTCCAGTGGTGTGTACCAGCCACTTGGTCAGTCAACCCAAATTCCACTTTCTCTCCCCTCCTGTGCTGCCAAGTGTCTGCTCGGCCGCTGAGCCTATTTCTCAGTTTATTCCGAACTTGGTGGGTAGGGCAGGAGAGCAGGAGACAGTCCCCTCAGGCCCCAATTCTGTGCCCCTCTGGATGCCAGAGGGAGGAGGTGTTTTTCGGGAAATGGAGGGGGAGCGGTGGAACCCAGGGACGCGCTTCCAGCTTCACCCGATGCACTCATCGGCCCCCAACCCTCTGTGGGGCTTGGGCCGTGGGCTCCACAGTTGGGTTAGGCCTCGTTTCTTATTTTCTCTGTTGTGTGATGATTTGACCCGGGAGAGCCTCTCCTCCCAGGGCCCGGGATTCCTGAGAGACGGCGAAGCACATGGAGCAGTCTCTCAACCATCCCCCCCCCAGCCCTGCCAATCCTGCCCCTGCCGCCCCCAGCCCTGCCTCACACGAGCGAACATCTCCCCTGCCTGGCACCCCGGGCGGAGCAGGGGCCCCTGCCAGCCCTGGGGATCGTTCAGAGCAGCTGTGCCCAGCTGTTCACGGGAACCCTAAGAACAGCTCTCCCCTCGCCCCTGCGCTGCGTCCCCGACGAAGCCAGCTGTGCGCGGACCCCTCTCCGGGCTGTGAGTGTAATAACCTCGCCCCCGCCAGCCTGGCTCCTGCTTCTCCTGTGTCCACACCAACTCTCCTAACCCACAACCAACATCGTGTCGTTGAGGACAGCCTCTCCAGGAAGCAGTGACGGGGGCGGCCCACAGCCTGCTGGCCGAGGGGACAGGTGAGGAAAGGGGGGACCAAGGGGTTCATATGCACCTGATGAGTATGAAGAGACCCCCCGGCTTAGAACCGGAGCTGCACGGACCCTCCGGAGTCCCCAGACTCCACATTCAGACGGGGGACTCCAGCCCTGGACCTCGCAGGTCGGGCCGGAATCTCCCAGCCCCGGGAGCACATTCCCAGGCAAGGACCCCCACCCAGGGCTCCGCTCCTAAGAAAAGACACAAGAACAGCTGCGCAGGTTTCAGGAGCGCTGGCATCGCCCAGTGATTTATTTCATCTCAGGATAAACAGACAGACGTACAAGGTTTTACGCGATTGGTACCCAGGACCTAGAAGTTGAAGCATTGACCCATAAAGCATCAGCCGGCCTGAACTGTGTCTTCAAGACACCTGTTTGCCTTTAATACCCGGCCACACTGCAGCACTGCTTACAGCTTTCAAAAGCCTCAGAGGAGCTTTCATCTTGCCTGAGAACACATCTAGGCCTTTAGTTCAATTCATCTCAAACCAATTCACCAAGCAGGTACGAAGTGCCCTGCCAGCTCCTGTGGTCCAGGCACCTTCCTGGAAGGGGGGAAAGTGTAGAGAACGTGGCGGCTGACATATGTTCAGACGCAACCAGAAGATGACACATTCTCATCTTTAGCTCTTCTTATCTTCCCATGAATAATGATATTGCAGAGGAAAGGGAAAAATAAGGACACTGATATATTTTTTAAAAACACCAAAACAAAACATTTTGTAAGCTAGGAAAGCGTCTACAATAAAACAGAACACAAGAGAGCGCTTCTGTTTACACATCGCCCCAGGAAGGCGTTACAACAGATTATGTCCTGAAACCATCTTAACTTCAGGAAAACACAAAGGACCTCAAAAACATTGCATCTCACTTCAAAATCTTTCACAGGAAGTTACCCAAGAGACCCACAGATCAAACAGCAGCTCCAGAATTACTGAAGGGACACCAGAAATTAACAGGAATCGAGCAGGTGATTCATTTCAAGGATTTGTAGCAAAACTGATACAAAGGGAGGAGTTTTAACTAAGTAGCAAAAGAACTTCCATTGTCTTCAAGGAAAGGAGATTGGTGCTGCCAGAGATTCAGAAATCGAGTCACCGAGTTCCAAATCCAGTCCCGTAAAGCTGCCAGAGGCCACGCCGGCACTGCGGCTGTTCCCCGAACCAAAGGTAAAAACAGAAAGGAAGTGAAGACGTCTTAACCCCATTCCTTCGGATCCCAAATGAACCTTGATTAACAATACAAAAGTCATTGCTTGTGAGCTAACCAAAAGATGGAGCTTTCCCAAATTATAGCCTTCCCCCTTAAAATGCCACTGCTCTTTCAAATATCTGGGAATGTCAGTGTGCCTGGGTTTCTTAATTTCATGTGAACTACGGATGGATGTCGTAAATGCACTAGCTTCGTTTGACTCAACGGATCAAAGAGCAGGAATATTTTTGCACCAACTGTTTCTCTAAATAGAGCTGCATACAGCCTTGGCACATCACGCTGAATGTGACATGATCCGTCCTCGGAACATCAGACCTGGAGGGAAGTCTCAGCCAGGCCTGCCCCTCCCCTAGCTGTCCTCCAAACCGAGGCTCTTGCATGGGGTGGCTTTTCCGTTGGTATAATCGGTGCACCACCCTCCTGGCCCTACACCCCAGGTACTGGCCTCCAAAAGCAAATTAAACTGGTCCTCTCAGCATGCCAGGTGCTCTGGTCTCTGTTCTCAGTGATATTACTAGTAGAAGTGTGGTCTGAAAGGTTCTAAATCCTCTACCCATCCTTGGGCATCCTCGGGCATCTAATCCTGACAAATGCCTGGGACTCCGGGGCCAGCTCCCACAGAAAGTGACGCTACGTCTAGTCCAGGCATTTCTTCGTTCAATTAAAGGATGAAATAATATACACACACTCCAGCTGGGCATGTTATCGTGTGGCTGTGCACACGTGACATCTAACAGGTCTCCCATCTTCCACGGGGAGAGTTTCCTTTGGAAGCCCACTTTCAGCGTTGATGTTTTGAAACGGTAAACGTCAGAGGAATGATTTCTCAAGTAAAAATCACAGTGATAATATCTCATGAGTTTGAATCGGAAGGAATGAAAATATTAGCTTGGTTCCATTTCATGTAAAAGTTTTACCATAAATGATGAAAGTCTAGAGAAAAATGTACTATCATATGAAATGCTCATGTCTTTAGAAGGACATTATTTATTTCGGATTTCAATTCTTTTCCTCCTGCCACGTCTCCAGTCTATTCCTACCAAAAGGCCAAAGAAGTCAGGCAACCTGAAGCCTGTTTTTCTTTCCTGAGACGATGGACCAAGTGGCCGAGCATCGTCTCAGGTCAGGGGCAGTTACGGGCAGGCACACACGTCACCAGGACGCACCCGCTGAAACGGTAAATCCCGTGCTCTGGCGCAAGCATGATTCAAGCTATCATTCCTAAACAGCTTAACTGATCACTTTCATAACCACAGACTCTTTAAAAAGCATAACCTATGTCCCACATACCCACTGATTGGCACAGACAGAGGTAACCCCCCCATCACTGGATCCACGAGTAAATCATAGTAAGGTACACATAACTTCATCTACTTATGTGCCAATACCTTTCAATGTGTACTTTTCCTATTGTAATAAAAAAAAAAGTGGATTGGAATCAGAATGCAGATCACTTGGCCTCCATGAGCGTATACACTTTATCCTTAAACTTTTAATCAACAGTAAGCCCTGTGTGTACACACTTGGAAAGTAAAATGTTATAACAAATGAGGAAAGATCAACGGGTTTGTTTTTCATCCTTGTGCCCTACCAAAGTACTGAATTTCATGTTACTTCTACTACGGTATTCTGGAATTCACAATTAGAAAAGTGTAGTTTACTTGCTAAACTACGTTATACACATATGTTATTTCCCCTTACGTTACTATGCTGTCACTCCGCCACAATTTCTTAGACTGATGCTTGTAAAAATGAATTTCCCTCATCAGGATGACAGAATTCATATTTAAAACATCAAAAGTAGTGGGTTCAACTGTGCCTGTATGTTATTCTTTAGAACTCTCAAAAAGAAAGGATTTTAACCTTCTTTTGCGGGGTGGGGGGGATACTACTCTTTTTGAGCCCACTATGAAACATCAAAGCGGCTGGGCATACCTGGTGGGTACAAATGCTCCTTTTAATGCAGACAAGCACCACGGCCACTGTCAGCTTTTCCTACTGATGACATGCGCTTTGGAAAACATTCAGTCACCGAAGATTCAGAACTCAAATAAGAGCAACTCGTTACTACATCACTGAACATAATTATTAACATCTCTTAACTTGAAAATATTAAACCCATCTCAGTTAAGCGGTGAGAAGGACCTGCTCTTGAGGTGTGCGGGCCTTTGAGCATATCTGGGCCCCTGTGATGACAGAGGAGATACTGGCAGCTCTCACTGGACAGATCTTATTGGGAATCAAAGATTTCACCCTTAATACTCACTACATTTGGAATGGAGCCAACCGCAAGTTAACCACATGTGGCAGGAACTTTTAAGCTAAGTTAGAAAGGGTTTAAAAGCTTTACTTATCAGTTATAATTTTAAACCTCAAGCCGAAAAAAGTATGACCTTCTTTCAGTCGTTCCACTAACATAGTTCACGTTGGCCTATTTTAGGATCTCAGCTCTGGGAGGTGGCCCCGAGGTCCCCTCTCACGGTGCAGGAAGCAATGGTACCTGGTACCCCACACAACTCAGGTCTGGCCTCCCGGCCACTCCGCGAGTGATACCGAGGACAGTACACCCCGCACTCCAGGCCTCACCCACTGCACCCGGAGGCTTCATCTCTCATTCTGCTTCTTTCTTTCTCAGGTATTTTGTATCTTATTTGTAAGGTTATCTATTTGCACACATCCTACATCTTGCCATCGACCCCATTAAGCAAAGCAAAGCAAAAGGAATGCAGACTAGGCAGCGGGCCTTAATACAGCATCGCAAAAGGTCTTCAAGGCCCCGCGACAAGCTTCTACCTTCTAAGCCTTTAAACGATCCCGTGGGTTGGGCGGGGCCCACCGGGGCCCACCCCCGACTCTCTCCCTCCCCGCCTCCACTCTCCTCGCCCCTTCCAGTTTCCCAGTTGGGACCTCGGCCCACAGGGTGTCCCCTGGCCCTGGGCTGCCGAGGGACACGCCCGGGTGACCCGGCCCACCCTACGCGGCGCCCTCCTCGCCTCGGTCTGGCTTCTCCTCCGGCAGGTTGAGCACGAACGGGAAGAACAGGCCCCGGGCGTCCGCGGGGGCTCGGAGTGACTGGAGCTCGAAGCTGCCTTCGGGGCCCGCGTCGCCGGCGCCGGGCTCGCTGTCCGGGGGCGGCACGAAGCGCCAGGTGCCCGCGCGGCTCACGCAGTAGATGGCGCCATCCAGCGCGGCGCAGCGGAAGGGCTGTAGGCCCGACGGCATGCCCGGGGGCCGCAGGTGCGAGGCACAGCGGCTCCACTGCTTGGCCAGGCAGTGGTAGCGGAGCACGCTGACCGCCCCCGCAGGCCCGGCCCCCGGCGCATCGCCGCGGCCCCCGCACAGGTCGAAGCGGTAGATGAAGCCGTCCAGGGCCACCATGTCGGCCGAGCGCTCGCGGCTGCTGCTGCACGGACACTCCTGCCACTCGTCGCGCCGCGGGTCATACTTGAGCAGGCGGTAGAAGAGCGAACCCCCGGACACGTAGATCTCGCCGTTGCAGGTGGTGGCCTCGTGCGCCACGGCGAAGGCGCCCCGGGGCAGCGGGGCCACGGCGGCCCAGCGGTCAGCGCGCGGGTCGTAGCGCTCCACGCTGAGCAGGCACTCGCCGCCCACGGCGTACAGGTGGCCATCCAGGGCCAGCAGCTGCAGCTGCGAGCGCGCCTGGCGCAGCGGCCGCACGGTGCTCCAGCGGTCGGTGGCCGGGTTGTAGCAGAAGACCCGGTCCGAGGGCCGCGCGCGGCCGTCGGGGCCCGCGGGCCCCACGCCGCCGGCCACGAAGAGGTAGTTGTAGAGCACGCACAGGCCGCAGCCCCGAGCCGGCGCGCCCTCGGGTAGCCGCGTCAGCTCGCGCCACTCGCCCGCCGCCTCGTGGAAGCAGTAGACGGCGGCGTCGCCTCGGCCCTCCGCGTCCCCCGACGGGCTCTGCGGCCGGCTGCCCGCGCGCTCCCCGGCCGGGCCGAGCGCGGCGGCCAGAAGACGGGCGCGGCCGGCGCGCAGGCGGCGGCGCAGCAGCAGGTCGCGCTCGGCGCCCGACAGGCGCCCGAAGACGGCGGGCTCGCGCAGCACCTCCAGGTAGTGGTCGCTCATGAAGCGGTAGGCGGCCTCGCGCAGCTCGGCCAGCCGCTGCCGCTTGGCCGCGCTCAGCACCTCGAAGCAGTTGGCCAAGCTCAGCTGCGGCGCCACGGCGTCAGTGGCGCGCTGCGCGGCGCAGGGCAGCTGTAGGCGGCGCGCGCCGGCCACCACGTCGGCCACGTTGTCGGGCCGCACGCCCGCCATGCGCCCGCTGTACGCGTAGGCCAGCAGCAGCCGCAGCGCCGCCCAGCCCACGCCCTGCACCCGCAGCACGTCCCGCGACGCGCGCGCGCGGAAGTAGTCGCTGCGCGCCGCCAGCACCGCCTTGTGAGCCCGCAGCCGGCGGCCAGACACCTCGATGAGCAGGTCGGGCTCCCCGTGCTCCGGCCCGACGCCGGGGGGCACAGGCGCGGGGTCCCCGGCCTCTTCCGGGGACGTGGGCTCCTCGGCCGGCGGGCACTCCCCGGGGGACGCGGGATCTTCCGGGGACGCGGACTCTTCTGGGGACGTGCGCTCCTCGGGGGACACGGGATCCTCAGGGGACGCGCGCCCTTCCGGGGACGCGGCGCCAGCGCTGCCGACTTCCCACTGCCTCTGCACCACCCGCCGGCCGCGGCGACAAGAGGGCGGGGAATCGTCCCCGGAGCTGAAGCACAGGGACGCGCTGAGACTGCAGGGTGTCTGCGCCGGGGACGCAGCGCCCTCCCCCCCCGCCGCGTCCGGCGGCTGCAGGCCGCCCTCTCCCGGAGCCTCGGGAGCGCCGCCCCGGCCCCCGGCCTGGCCGCACGCTCCGTCCCCCGGGTAGAGGACGCAGGGGGCCACCGGGCTCTCCATGCGAGCGCTCGCTCCGGCTGCCGTCCCCGCTCAGCAGCCCGGCATGACTTCGCCCGGATTCGGGCTGCCCAAGGTCGATGGCTCCTCCGGGGCTCCTAGCTTCACACGCTTCTGCTGGCGCGCGATCAGATTTCACTTGTGTCCACACTGGTTTTCAATCGCACGCAGCTCCCCTCGCGCCCGCCCGCTCTCCTCTCCGGCGAAAGGGGTGTGTCGACTCGAGCGCGCTCCCGGCTGAACTTGTGAACCTGGCAAGGTTCCCGCCCGGCGGCCGTCTGCAGGGGTCTTTGTGGCTCGGTCTCCGCACCGCGTGGTGATGATCAGTCCACGGACAGGACCGCCCTGCAGCCGCAGCCGCGGCTCTGTCTGTACCTCCTGCTCTGCGGAACTGAGCTGTCAGGTGCTCCTAAGGAACTGGGCCTGCCCTTTCTTCCTGAGTCAGTGTTTATCCCTCCACATTCCATCACATCTCTGTCTCTGAGGACCAACGAATCAGAGACGGGCTGCAGTCCACACTTCAGAACACTGACTTTACTGCTGTTTCACAGGGAGCCGCCCCAGGGAGCTTGTTTTTTGTGCGTGACTCCCACGTGCGATTAAGGCTTATGGATGGTCAGCCGGACAATATCTGTGTGTCCTGGCCTCGGCAGCGCTCCTGATGGGCCTGCCTCGACAATGTTCACCTGGAAGCGGGGAGGGCATGATTCAGTCGCCAGGTGGGTGTTAGGAAGACACAGTTACTGCACACACTAGACCGGCTTTCCTCCTTCATCCATCGGGAGCCTTCCTCTGCGACTTCCTTTGTTGGAATATCAGGTGTTTCCATGTCATGTCACCACGCTCTTTGTGTTCCTGTTTATAGGAGAAAGAGACAGAATGTTGGAATTTGCATTTTTCCATAGGGCTACCTTGTGTCAGTGGCAGCTACCCCATTGCCCTCCACAATATTCAGGTTATAGGATTCAGATAGGGTGGGAATGGGGATTGTGACTTTTCAGTGCTGGAAAGTTTGGTGAATAAAACATATGGGATTATTTAGATATTAAAAAGCCGTTCCTCCCCTGGTTTTCGAGGCCTTTAAGGAAGAGCCCAATTCAGCCATGAGCCTTAAGTACATTGGGTTGAACCATACGAAATTGCTGGGTTTTGTGTGTCAATACAACGGCAGTCAAATATCAACCACTTCCTCATTTCGACCTAATGAGATGTGTATGTATAATTGAGAACTTAAAGTGAGAAAGCATGGCCCGCCTGTGAAACCTCAGTTTTATTGCGGGACAGTTTTCCTGAAATCTTTTCCAGCCAACTATCTCAAATTCATTTACAACAAATATTTGGAGAAAGGTGCTGAGGACTTTTCTCTGGGGTTGGCCTTGGAGGCTCCAACTCTGGAATCTATCTGAACGGCTCATTCCTGGCTTTGTAGCTCTGAAAAACCTCAGAGAAGCAACCCTCCAAAGAGCACACGTGCAGCAAAAGAAAAGCCAAAGCAAAACAAAACAAAACCAAAACAAAAAACAAAAGCCACGGAACTGCTTGGAAGGCAGATGTGAGCACCTGCAGATGAACTATAAAAAAATAATAAATTATCTCTCCTAATTGGCAAAACCTTCACTGAGACTCCCCAGCCTAGAAGGGGGGTCTTAGCACAAGGGGAGGGGCAAACTGGGCTCTGGTTTTCCTAAGAAGAGGCCGCGGACAAGAGAAACGGACCAAATACATACAGCTCAGATGCGTCATCATTATAGGGTATGTTCACCTCTCAAATGGGATAAAGGGATACTTAACCACCTACCCTCAACCTCTTCTGATTTTCTACTAATTGTACTTAATACCGTTGCCTGATCCCTATAAATGCTCAGGGTTGAGAGAATGGGTGTGTATAAAAATACATGCTTGCCTGCTCTTTTTGCTACCGTGTTACGAAAAAGACTTTCCCATTATTCTCAGAAATGCAAGTGTCTTAGAGGTGGAGATTCAAGACATTCAATTCTGTCTCTCCCTTCCTCCCCGCCTCTCTCTCTGTCTCTCTTCCCCTCCCTCTCTCTTTCTCTCTTTGTTTTACAGAAATCTTTAACAGTAACCTTTGAGGCATATTCACCGGGTGCAGGGCACTGTCTAGGACATGTGGAAAGGCAGCATGGAGACAGTCGGGATGAGCTGAAACTCTGACCACGGGCATGTGGGTCACGGAGGTGCCACGTGTTTACTCAGCTGTGCCCCAGCCCGTGATGCTGCTGGGGAGGTCCTGCGTCCACTGAGATGGAAATGCACTCTGGCCCACAGCGACCGGAATGTGATGACAAACTGGAAACCTGCACAGATTTTATAAGCAAAGCTTCTGGCCTCTTCCCAAACGCCAGAGGTGCTGTCTTAGTCAGCTGAGTCATTCAAGGGAAAGTCAGATAAAAAGGAAGACATATACATATCTTTCCCAAATATACATATAAACGTCAATGTCTGAAATAAAATCAGAGAACTGGCTCTCTTATTTACTTCATTCTTTTCACACTTTCTCTGTATGATGCAGAAGACCTTGGACCTCAGAAAACTAACTACTTTTTTCTTTCTTTTCTTGGCCAGGAGAAGGGTTTCGGCACTTCCTGGTTCTTTCTCTGGCTTGACTCTCATCGGGACGTGCAGAAGCCCAACCTCTGAGAGTTCTCTTCGTGGAAGTCATCACAGACTCAAAGGCAGGGAATAGAACACACTGAAAAACCTAAGTTTGCAATTCTTAGGTTTTCAAAGCTCTACAGAATCCGTTTAAAGCCTGAAAGAATCAGGCTAAGTAGACATTTTGTCGTAGCCACAAGAAGCAGGAGCTGCATGTCCACAATGACACAAATATGACCCAGGTGGTCAGTGGTCCAAGCAGGCACGTCCTTGCCAGCTCCCTGTGCGCCCCTGGCATGGATCACAGACCAGGCTGGCAGAGCCGGGGGTGGTCCGAGACCTGAGCACAGCCATGTAATCCCATCCAAAGTGTGACAGCTGCTCACCCACTCAGCTGGCTCTCTGCCCCGTGACCAGGTCAGGAGTCCCTGTTCACCCACCCAGCCAAGGTGATGCCGAACACCTGAGTGTTGTCAGGTGAGACAGAAGACCGTCTGTCACTGCGACGCAGGCAGCAGTGATGCTGGATCCCAAGAGCTGGGAGGCCACCCAGCAGGTCCACTTTCTGAAGGAAGCTTCTGCAGCATGACAGGTCCTGGCCCCCGCCCGCCTGGCAGGGTAGAGGGTCAGCTTCCACAGGAGAAATTAGGAAATTAAGCAGAGGGGCCACTTCCTTTTTCAAACGATGTTAAAGAAAGTCAGCATTCGGAGCTATATCTTTTTTCCCCAGCATGGCCCATTACTGTGATTTGGCCTTAAAATGGATGGGAAGAAGCCAGCCCATTTTGTGTATGTCCTCTGAGCACTGCAAGTCTGCCAAGACACTTAGGGTCAGATTGGAGGTCCGGGATTTGCAAGGGGACGTCCCCCCATGTTGCAGTTGGCTCCAGCATCAGAGTCCCCCTAAGGGGCTCCTGGAGGACTCTGTGCCAGCACCCACCCTGGTGACGGCAAAATAACTGCAACTCCCCGCCCGACTGAGGCATCGGGAAGGATTTCTTCCCTGAGCACTGCTTCTGGGGTCTGTTACAGTAAGATGAACGGCAGCACCTTCGCCCCATGTAGCGACGGGAGAGGATCTGTCGGTGGAGGTGTGGGGTGTAGTAACAGGCTCCCTCCTGACTGTAGTGAGAAAATATTTTAACAGGAACAAGTCTGCTTTAAATATAACTTAGGTAGCATTTCTCCCTGAAGGCTATACATTTCTTCTCCACATTGTAAATATCTAAACAGAATTTTTTAGTCTCTCCATGAATTTCTTCACTCTCAATTTGATTTTTTTTAATAAATTTATTTATTTTTATTTGTTTATTTTTGGCTACACTGGGTCTCCATTGCTGTGCACGGGCTTTCTCTAGTTGCAGCGAGCGGGAGACTACTCTTCATTGTGGTGTGCGGGCTTCTCATTGCGGTGCCTTCTCTTGTGGAGCACGGGCTCTAGGCACGCGGGCTTCAGTAGTTGTGGCACGTGGGCTCAGCAGTTGTGGCGCACAGGCTTAGTTGCTCCGTGGCATGTGGGATCTTCCCAGACCAGGGCTCGAACCCGTGTCCCCTGCATCGGCAGGCGGATTCTTAACCACTGCGCCACCAGGGAAGCCCAATATGAATTTCTTAAAGAAGACTGTCTATGATTTCCCAAATGTGGACGTTATTTTTGTGCTTAAGGTGGATATCAGGTTATTTAAAATTAAATATGCTTCATTAGAATAATATAGGTTGCTAAAGAGACTCTCAAATAATTTCAAATAATTAGTCAGTTTTTTTTAATATTAATGAACAGACTTAGGAAGTTTATCTAAATGTCTGTAGCACCTGTTGTTGTAGCCGATTCCTCCTCGGTGTTCTCCAAGTCACGCCCGACACGTATCTCATCCGTGTGTCCAGCCACACGCCTGTGACAGCAGAGTCCTGGAACCACCACTTGTGCCCTGCCCGCCGCCTGCTTCCCACACACCAGCATGAGCCTGTTCACATAGTGAACAGCCAATAGCTCCTGGGGTTAATTCACAAAGAAAACCACAAACAGAAGAAACATCATCGAATCTTAGAAACTTGCAGGGAATGTCAGGATACCTGTTTGATCATAGAATGTGTTGATTCCCTTCAGCTGTTCCTACAGATATTGCTGGTTCCTTCTTCCTTGGGCCCAATTAAAATGAGGTGGCGGTTCTGGGTGTGCAGGGATGCAGGTGGGTGGGAGCGGATGCCTCGGTGGGGGTGGGGAGGGCAGCCACTGACCTTCACCGCAACCCTGATTCCCACGTTCTCTGCACTCGTCACAGTCCGTGGTCTGGCCCTAGCAAGGCCATCATAGCGGCGTGCCTGGAACATGGAGTCCAACGCTGCCACAAGGAAGCATCATTCATAAAATAGGTTTTCATTCCTCAGTCGTCCTGGGAGCTTGGCCGTCTGGCTGCTAAAAGCCGGGTGCCGCGTGGTCTTGGGAGATGCGGAGGGCGCAGGGCCCAGGGCCCTGTGTGCAAGGTTCTGTACACGCTTCGGCCGAGGAGACACCCGCCACCTGGATGAGAGGACCCCCCAAGCCGGGTGTAGGCCGTTTGTTCTGTGAGGTTTGGGGATG